GGGGCGAGCCCTTCTGGGCCGCGTGGGTGCGGGTTGTCGCGGCGGCCGCGCGGGCTCAGGCCAGGCTCTGCTTGCAGTGTGCCATGACCTTGCTCTACGCCTTCTCCCAAGACATCTTCTCGGTGATCAACTTCTTCAGCTTCTTCAACTGGCTGTGCGTGGCCCTGGCCATTGCGGGCATGCTGTGGCTCCGCTACCGGAAGCCTGAGCTAGAGCGGCCCATCAAGGTGGGTGCGCCCGCCCGGCGCCCTGGCCTGGGCCCCTTCCCCAGAGGGCTCCGGGGAGAATCGGGCAGGAGAAAGGCGCCCACCACCGTTTCTGGAGCCTGGTCAGCGCCAGATGCGTGATCCAGAAACGGGGTGCGTCAGAGGACACACCCCTGCCCCACCCCTGCCCTCCTCCTGTTGATGCGCTAGCAGGAGGGGAGCTGCAGTGACCCGCGGGTGGGGCTGTCCAGGGGGACGGGGCCGAGCCTCGGCAGTCCTGGAGAGGACAGGCGCCCTGGGGAGGCAGGCCGGGGGGAGGGGCGAGTGGCCCACTGCGGCCAGACACGGAAGTGGAGGGTGGCACTGGTGGTGGCCTCCTCAGTGGCTGGTGACTTGGCAGACAGATAGCTTTGTGCAGACAGACAGCGTCCATGCAGACAGACAGATGGCCTCCGTGCGGACAGACAGCCTCCCTCCGTGCAGACAGACAGACAGACAACCTCTGTGCAGACACACAGCCTCTGTGCAGACAGCCTCCCTCCGTGCAGACAGACAGACAGACAACCTCTGTGCAGACAGACAGCCTCTGTGCAGACAGCCTCCCTCCGTGCAGACAGACAGACTCGAGGCACCTGGGGGCAGCCGCCGTGTGTCCCAGCAGCCAGGCCGTGGCACCCCCACAGTCAGGAGGAGCCTGCCCGTGACTGCATGTGATGGTCAGCCTCCCACAGAGGACTCTGAGGGGGTGCTCCTGGCTTATATTAGCGGTGCCCCCGTCCTCCCAGAAATGCCTGCCCCTCCTGTGGGTGACCCCGGTGGGTGCCGGCCAGGGGTTTCTGCCCATGTGTGGGAGCCAGGGAGGCTGACCCCCCCCCTGACCTGGGGGTGCCTGGAGAGGCCGGCCCACCCCCTCCGTCTCCTGCTGAGCCCCGTCTGTGCAGGGCGGAGCCGGGGCCGTCGGGCCCCCACACACGGGAGGCGTGGACTCGAGCTGGCTGTGGGCGTGTTGTGTGGGGCCGTGGAGAGCGGGGAGGCGGGCGGAGGGCACGGTGACAGCGCCTGTGCCCCCACAGGTGAACCTGGGGCTGCCGGTGTTCTTCATCCTGGCCTGCCTCTTCCTGATCGCCGTCTCTTTCTGGAAGACCCCCGTGGAGTGCGGCATCGGCTTCGCCATCACCCTCAGCGGAGTGCCCGTGTACTTCCTCGGGGTCTGGTGGAAAAACAAGCCCAAGTGGCTCCTCCAGGGCATCTGTGAGTCCCCGCTGGGCAGGGCTGGGTGTCAGGGCCAAGGCCTCGGCCTGGCATCAGCTAACCTCAGAGCGAGGCTTCCGGAAAGCAAGCCAGGTCAGCAAGGCCCGCCGGCCCCCAGCTTGGCCGACTCTGGAAAGCCGCCCCCACCACATGGCCCGGGCCAGAGGTCCCCCCGGGAAGGCGCTTCCCCCTGTGGTGGGCTGGGGCCTCCGCCTCGGCCCCGCCCCCCAAGAACCCCCTTCAGAGCACACAGTAGCCCCAAGCGGGACTCCCCAAGCGGCGCCTGAGGGTCTGTGGTCATGGACGGCCCTGGGGCCCCTTGACGGCACCCGCCTCACCCTGTGGGGGTCCAGGACTTGGCAGCCTCAAGCACGCTCGCCGCTGCGCCTGGGCACCTGGCAGAGGGCGTCCGCTGTGCCCAGGGAGCAGCCCACCAGGCCTCCCTGCAGCCGCTGACCTTCCCCCGGCCGGGCCGGGCCCCGTCCCTCGCTGGTCCCCGTGACGCCGCTCTCCCTCCCCGCAGATTCCACCACGGTCTGGTGCCAGAAGCTCATGCAGGTGGTCCCGCAGGAGACGTAGCCGCGCCGGCCCCCGGGAGAGGACAGCCGCCCCCGGCCAGCCTGGGCTGGGAACGCCACGCGGCCAGCGGGCCTCGGCCAGGAGCGAGGCGGGTGCCGCTGGCCCTGCTCACCGCCATCCGCTTGTGTTACTTTTTTAACTTAAATTATGGACGCCGCCAAGAAGATTATTTTTTAAAGAGATGATCTCCCTGCCTTCCCTGCTGCCCAGCCCACGGGGCCCCGGGAGGCCCCGGCCACACTCCAGCACCCTCCGGGCCTGCCCGGGCCTCCGGCCTCCTGGTTTCTGTTGCC